TTCAATTCAAAGTACACCCTACTATTTAAAGAGTAATCCATTTTCAAAGTAAGAATCAAAAGGAAATAAAAAAATCAAGCAAAGACAAATGCTTTCGAACACTGATTGAGCCTTTTGGACCTTTTGGGGTTAGGTACAAACTCTGGCAGTCTGGCTTTTCTTTGCCATCAATTTTGGCTTTACAATTGCGGGAGAGAAAATTGGACGTATAGTAACTATAGACTATAGCTATTATTAGTCGTGCTCTCGAGTTTGAACAATTTTGTTGGTTCATTGAAGTAATGAATCTCCTAGCTAAGTCATGCCTGATGTAACTTAATAAGCTTTACTTTTGTTCTTCCAAAAAAAATAAATAAGCTTTACTTTTGTAACAACAATGACAACCATGTTGATTAAAGAATATAGTGGCGAAGAAGCCGGAGAGACGGTTTTTAAGAAATACATACTACTGAGTAATATATACGTAGACACGTAGTATATATTAAAATTTTGGTGTAAATATATCCAGAAAAAAATGGAACCGTTTCAATATATCATAAATCATACTTGAGTGTATTTTGTCATAATTCAATATATTTTTCATGCAATTGAGCCGTTTCAATAATATCTTCAAAATTTCATTATAATCAACTATTTTCAACGTTACGTTACGGAGCACATATTCTAAAGTTCAAGTCAAAATAGTTAAATCCGGCACATAATGTTAGCCTATATTCATGGCCGGCTATACCAGCGGTGCACTGTGCACGTTAGCAATTGTCTGGACTTTGATAAGGACTTAATAATTACATAAATATGACAAAATAAAGATGTTTTACAAAAATATGATTCATTACTAGAGTAGTAATAAAATCATAGTAATTCATGTTCAAGTTTTGAACTTTAGTTACCACAGTACTACGTTGTAGTAATGAATAGTAATATTTATGTAAATAAGTTTTATTTTAGTAATATTCTCGTAAAAGACCCATACGAAATATTAGGGAAATTATAATTTTATTATTAGGTAAAGTTAATACATATATAAATATATAATAGGCCCAGAACACAATCCGACTAGCAGAAATCTATCCGTGATGATTTAATTAGCTTATTCGGCCTGCTGAGTCATTAATGTTAGTTTTCGTTTATAAGGATGTTTTCTTTTGGACTATTTTCAATTCCAAACCAGATCGGATCAGATTGGACTAGACCAGACTTTCGTAGTTATAAAATATACAGAGACATGACATTTATCAGATCAGCCAAATCAGATCAAATCAAACCAGACCAGTAAATTTCAGTCCAAAAGAAAACATCTTAAATTAGATCAGGCTCAATTAGCATTTAGGTAGTGGACATGTCGTAAATGTGTATAATTAGACGGTTTAGACTTTAGACCATCAATTCTTGTAGTTTTAAACATTAATTTATGGTGTTATACTATTATATAACATGATACTTGGTACTTAATATGAATTGTAAAAATGGGGAAATCTAAAATAATTTATATTATCTTTGTTGGGTTAATAGACTTAGCTGCGGATCAGCCCATTACCCTTAGTAGATAGACCAGCAGGGCCCAACCAGGACATGATCCATCAAGATACACATCGGACATTCGTCGGATCCGTCAAGATGCTCGGCCTCAGTGGCCTTGATCCAACAAGGGCCAAGCGACATTCCAGAGCCTTTGGCCTGGCAACTTACAGGAGTCGTACAGAGCCCGGCCCTTGCGCTCACCAGAATCCAGTATTCAAGATCAAGGGACGCTCGTCCGAGACCCTTTATGGGAAACCAAGATATTAGCGGGAACGGGAACTGGGAAGTGCATTTAATGCATCAGATTTTGTGGTTGGGAGCTAGTCATCCACAACCCTCCACATCATTAATATCACCTACTCCTTGATAGTATAAGTAGTATGGAGTAGTATTTATTTCAGTGTAAGGATGTTTTCTTTTGGACTATTTTCAGTCCCAGATCAGACCAGATCAGACCAGACCACACTTCTGTAGTTATAAAATACACAGAGACCAGACGTTTACCAGACCAGACCAGACTAGCAAATTTCAGTCCAAAAGAAAATATCCTAAAGGGTTTTCATCTTATTCTCCCTAGCAAATAGCAATTATCGTAGCTTTTAACATTGAAATAGACGAACGGCTTCTCGACTAGTAGTTGAAGTGTGTTGTATACGGACCCTTATGAACGGCTTCCAGACTAGCAAATTTCAGTCCAAAATTATTATCATTTAATAAGATACGGCCCACTCACTACTCTTGTTAATGACCCATCTTACTTGTTTGCACCATACATCCATTAAACTCTCCACTCGAAATCCAAGGGAAACGTGTTAGGCCTTTGGGTTGAAGGAATAAACTTCAACAATCTTGATGCACTATTTTAGTTGAATTAAGTTTTTTCTTCCTAAACATCAATAATGTTCAATAATGTTACTTATTTCTTGTAGTAAAAAAATTAGATGAAAATAGTTGAAAGTTTACTAGATAAGAACAAATTAAAGAAACTTGACTAAAATTAAATAGACTGGATTAAACAATGGAAGACATGAATGAAATATGTCTCTAAATTCTAATCTGGTTAGAATGTTAGATCAAACTTAGTCAATGCACGTATAGTAAAATACAAATAATATTATACATGTCTTACCCAAACCAGATAAGTTTAAACTAGACTTATTAGAGTGCTCGTCAGGGGTGGCCCTAGGGGTGCAACAGGGGCGACCGCCCTAGGCCCAAGAAAATGGGGGGGAATAGGCCCAAAAATATTTCTTTGTATGTAGTGTGAGTACGCTTCCTTTTTTATAATTTTTAACTCAATTAATTGGCTCAAGGTTTAATTTTTAAAATAAATTTAAAGTGGCACGCCTCTCTTAATTCTCTTCGAATATCTAAGTTTTATAATCCTTTTAATTACAAAATTACCAAGTTATGTTAGGCCTCCCAAGTCCAAAACTCTCAATTCGCAAAACTCATTGAAATTGATTTGTTGTTTACAAATTCCAATATCAACAAGAGTAAAAAATGCTGCAAAGCGGTGAATGCCTTAGCGATTTGTTTAGAATTGAAGCCAATCAATTGAGGAGCCCAAACGGTGGCCGGTGACCAAAAAACTTCTTCTTTCAAGACTTCAAACAATCCATCCATGATCAATAAATTATTGATGATAAAATTGGTGAATGAGGTTGGGATAAAGAGAGAAAAAGAAGAAGATTAGAAAAGATAGGGCTAAGTTAAAAGGGATCGATGGAAAATTCTGTTTGTTAAGAAATTGAATCTTGAAAATTCCGTGAGACCGTTTTTAAGTAATGTTTTTCTTTTTATGTGATAGTTGTGTTGTTACTTTTCACCAAATATGTAATTTAAATAATAATAATAAAATGAGTTTGGTTTTTATTTAATGACCTTTATTAAACAATTTTATTATAATTATTATTTTAAATAAATATAGTTTATTATTTGTCTTGAATATAACCCCAAAATAATATCTCACACATAGCCCCGAAAATAGACAGGATCGGTCATGGTGCTCGTTTCACTTGGAGCTATTTTAATCTGTGACTAGACTTAAACAAATCATATCAACAAATTTTTAGTTTAAATGAAAGCATCCAATCAAACCGACCCTATTGCCCTACTTAAACTATTTCTTGATCTTGCTCACGTTGAAGCGGCCTTTTTTGCCCAAAATTAATCTCATTTTTTATAAACCATTTTATACGATTTCTCGAAAAAATAGCTCTTTTTTATCTGATAATGTCATATCGCAGATCTCAACACTTCTTTATGTAAGCTTTGAAATTTGACTATATGAACACATCTTAAAATAATTGATCTTATACATTGAAAATAATTAAGGCGCATCCACTAATTTCTTTAGGGACATAATTATAATTTTTTGCCCCATATTCTTTCATGTTTGTCCACCTGAAAACAATAATTTATGACGTATAAATTATTTAATATTTTTTGGAACCTAATGGGACTACGAACTTTCCTTCTTCAGAACAACTACGTACTGCATGAACCACTTCTTAGGAAATACGCTTTCTTTTCAACAAATGCTTATACTATTCTGGCATTGCATATGAAAAATCAATTAATCATAGTGATGATTTTTTAATGGGGTAATTAGTAGAAAGAATGCGTCTGAATATAGGGGTCTCAGGTTTAACTCCAAACAATAATTTGGGATGGAACATCACTCTCTTTCCATTAGAATACGATGTGATTGAAGTTCAACTTATATCCCCACTTCCCAGATAAGTGTCTGGTTTGTTCTGAGAGACCCTCAGGGCCTTTGTAATCATAGTGATTTTCTTAAATAAATGCAACATATTGAATACTACATTATTCATATTCTGTATTTTGATTATATTTTATTTGATAATGAATGTATTACTCCGTTGAATTTAATTTTTGAAAAATATTGTTAAATTACTCATTAAATTTCCAATATTTGTTTTTTTCTTCTTTTTACTTAAGGAATGAAATATATGAATGGTTAAAGTTGTGCATCCAGTCATCCACATGAAAATGGGAAGATTGTAGCTAAAATTAAAATATACTAGTAGCAATAAATATACTCTGGTATATATGGTCAAACTTTTTGGAGAAGATTTTGACGACTTTTTAGGAGGTCCAGCCAAGAACGTGCCCAACATTCCAACAACAAAGTCTAAACGAAAACAAATCCCAAAAATAATAATACTCCCTCCGTCCCTAATAACTTTGCCAAGTTTGACCGGCACGGGGATTAATAAAGTAAAAACTGTGTGGTTGATGTTTGTGCAGAGGAGAGAGAATTAACTGGAATCACAAATTCTTTACTTAAATGGGAAAGTGGCAAAGTTAATGGGACATCCAAAAAAGGAAAGTTGGCAAAGTTATAAGGGACGGAGGGAGTAGTACGGAGTAATTAGTACTGTAACGGTCAATTTATTAATAACCTAAAAAATGTCATTAGGCAACAACCTTAAGCAACAAGGATTGCGGCCCTATTTAAAACCAAACTTCCTCGGATTTTTCACTAAACCTCGCTGTCCTCTTCTCCTTCCAATCTCCAAAATCTTCAATGGCCGTTCAAGCGAATCGCAATATATTTCTTCAAGAACTGTCGGATTTCATACCCTTGAGCGGAGATGAAACTTTCCCAGATTTGGCTGATATCAAGCCAATGATTACCGGATTTCAAGGTATCTTGCCGTCGTTTAATGTATCTCCGCCGTCTACGGCGCCGGAGTATGGCATCGGCGGTTATATTGGAAATCAGGGTGTTACTCGGAAGAGACGAGCTACCCGAGATTCGATCAAGTTTTCCCCTGTTTTCGCATCTCAGAAAATTAAAAATCAAAGCTTTAACCAAAACCCATATGCTCCCGGCAATGGCGATTTTCCGGCTCTCCGGCAATACGAGGTCGAGATAGACCGAATCGTGTCGCAGCATGTACGCAATACATCTCCTTCTTTGCTTATTTTTGGATTTTTGAATATAAAATAGAACTGTTAGTAATAATAATCTGTCCGGGATTTAATTATAGGCAAAGAAATTGAAGGTTGAAATTGAGAAGAGAAACGAGCAGATAATGACGGCGGTGATCGGAGAAGGGCTGATGAAGAAATTAAGCGAAAAAGAAGCCGAGATCCAGAGAATGTGGAAATGGAATCTTGCGCTTCAAGAAAGGGTGAAAAATCTGGACTTGGAGAAGCAGCTCTGGCGAGACATGGCCCACAAAAAGGCGGCCGCCGCCGACTGTCTCCGGGCAAATTTAGATAAGCTCCTCTCCAGCGCCGCCGCGGTGAACGAAGATTCGGCGTCCTCCTGCTGCGGAAGCAGCGGCGACGCCGGCGGCGGCCGGGTTTGCCGGCGTTGCGGAGTGAGAGAGTCGAGTGTTTTGCTGCTTCCTTGCCGGCATCTCTGTCTCTGTGCAATGTGTTTTGGGTCAATTCCGATTGACAATTGCCCAGTTTGTAATTCAAACGCCAATGCCTCTCTTCACGTTAATTCTTCTTCTGATTGACCAAGAAGATGACCAGGAAAAGATTTTTTTTTGACGAGAGGAAAAGATTGAAATATTACCATTTTTATTTTATTCATTTATATGACTAATGTATAATATAATGTAGAAGAGATCTATTTAGATTTTAGACCCTGGTGTAATTAGATTCTTTACCTCGGTGACAGAATTCATTTTTTCTATATCATGCCTTTTTGCAATTCTTTACTTTGGTTTCCTTCCACATTTTAATATTTTTGACAGAAAGTTGGAAACCTTTTTTATTTCCTTCCTCGTATTTTTTATTTTGGTTTACTTTGATTCTTGATTTTGTAATATTAGAAAGTAACTAGCATTATTGTCTTATAAGGAGAATTCAATTTGACTGCAATATTCTATTGGTGATGTTTGTTTAAGTATAACCGTGTCTAGAATTTAAGAGCATCTCCAATGCTAAAATGTGCACGGTGCATATGTGGCATGAGTGATAGTCACATAAATATTAGCAAATAAATTATCTCTCTCCTTATTTGAATGATTTTATATAATTTTGGTAAGTTTTTCCCTACAATGTCAACTGCAATGTCAACACTTAGACGGTCTCATTGACATTGTGGAGAAAAACTTACTAAATCTGTATAAAATCATTAAAATAAGGAGAAAAAGAACTTATTTACTAATATGTATGTGGCTATTTCTCATGCCACGTGTGCACCGTGCACATTATACCATTGGAGATGCTCTAAGCAAGTCCAATATAATGTAATTTAAGTGCAAATATATGGTGCGTGTCTCTGATACAAATACAAAAAGAATCTCGACTTTTTGTATCAATGATATGTAGGTATGTTAAAATTTTTAAAATTTACAAGATAAAATTAAATTTACATGTAAGATGTTAAAACCCATAGTAAAGGCACGTCTTTTCAATTTCAAAAATATAATTCTTTTTTTATTTTGAATTACGGATATACTATATTCAAAAAATTCTTCTCTCATAAAAATAAGAACAATTATATGAAAAAATGTTAAAATGATCCAAAGACCGAGAAGTAACTCCAACGTATTTATTTTAATTATTACCCAATGCATGAAATTAAGATTTACATGTTTTGTAAAAACATTGAATGGTAAATCTGATGAGTCCTTGAGAAGTTTTCTTTTATTTTTGTTATGTTATGCTAAAATCTATGGAAAGCAAGAAATGATATGGGAAAGTGAAAATTGAGAAGTACATGAGTGATGGTAATGACTTGAGATGGGTTGTATCAAGATCAATGTAGATGGGTCGCTAGACCGTATAGCTCTAAGTCTTCTAACATTGGGTTTGACATGGTCAATCGGGATGAGTTCAAACTTTAGTGGTGAGAATGAGACAACATTGTAGGGGCAAAAACTCTGCATCACTACGTGGTATAAATTACATACACGGATGTTCCTTTGATACAATTTTGTTTATCGCTAATATTTCTGTCTAATATGTGCGATGATAAGAGAATAAGATTCCTCACACATTAGCTAGACAAACTATTTCTAAATAAAAATTGTCCTAAATAGAACTAAAACATAGATAAAAACTCAAATTAGGACTTAATATGCTTTACTACCAATATATGAGTCATTCGCTCCTATTATCAATTTTTACGTTTTCTGCAAAGTGTGAAATGTCCATGTGTGTATCCTTGTCTCCACCTCCAGCGTTGATCTTCTTTTGTGCCACGCTCTTCTCCTGCAACTCCAACATCAATCCCCTTATCCTGTAACTCACAATCAATCCTCTCCCCTGCAATTACAGTAGCAATTATCTCCTCTTGCACCTCAACAATTGATCCTTCTCTACAATTTCCAGTCCAGAACTCCAGGTTGTTCTACTGGTCCCTTCTATTCTCTGCCTCTCTTTCCCTTTCTCTCTTCCTCTTCACATTTGAACATTATCTCCCAGATTCCTCTTCCTCATATGATTTCTTCTTCTTACCCTGTTTTGTAAAAAATGTCATCTGTGTTCTCAAAATGTCATGGAGATAACATTTTCATATATAAAAACATGGCTGATCGAGTATATGGGCCTGGACCCCATGGCCCACATACTCAAGTCAACGATGACCAGAAGAATGTCCACGTGGCCCCCTTCGGCCCAGTGGGACCCGCATCGGCCAGAAACCAAACCGGCCCAGAACACGAATCTGGGTTTCCGGGACCGCATCGGCCCATGGACTGCATCGGCCATGGGCCCGCATCGGCCAAAGTGCCCCGCATCGGCCAGACTTCGTCCTGGCAGAACGCATCTCTCTACTTTATTCACTAAGTATTGTACTCAGCCCATTAGTGGCCCTATTTCGCCCAAAGAAGGCATGATTATTGTAATGGGTCTCCTAAGCCCATGACTAGGAGCCCAAATCCATATTTTTACCTATAAATAGACCCCTTGGGGCTAGTTATAGGGGGTTGAGAAATATAATTACTCACTTTCTCTCTCTAGCTCTCACTTCTCTCTGGAATTAATACTCTATCAATGGCAGTCGTGGAAAATGTTAAGTTGGTGTCATTTTTACTCTTTAGAAATGACAAATAAAAACTGTCATCTTGGTTAATGTAATGTCAAGATAGTGACATTTTTTCAAATCAGTGTTCAATAACATAACAATTATGCCATTTTCAGGTCCGAATTGTGAGGAAAATAGTATGAACGATTTAAAGTGAATTAGATGGAATCTATAAAAAATGAATATCCAAAAGAGAAGAAAAGAGATTAACAGAGGAAGAAAGAAAATAGAGTAGCTTTAGAGAAGAAGAAGAAGAAGCTTACATGGGAAAGTTGCAGAGGCAATGGAGAGACATCCTTTCGCGCATGCTTCACAAGTCACGGACGGAAGAAGAGTGACTTTGCAGGACAGTTTTGGTATCCCATCTATATTTTAGTCCTATACTTTTACACGAAAAGTGATCGTCTTATGATAGATTTTTTCATAAATTTTAGTCCTATCAAGATAAATTTCTCTTTACTATTCTATATTCGTTCTCCAAAAAGGTGGAATCTCCCACCCCAGGAGCCTCCCACCCCGACTCGACAGGATGGTGGGGAGGTTAGTCACGGTGACTCAGTCGGTCCAATGGCGGTAGACCTTTTACCAGTGCGCACCAGAGGCTCAACCTTATTTCAGGTTTTGTGACCTCCACACAACCGCTGCGGGTTTCGAACCTTGGTCATTCTCCAAATTTTCTCACCACCGAACCAACTGAGCTACCCGTGTGGGTAAACAGTTGAATCTCAATAAATTTACCATTCTTTATTCGTGATATCAGACCATCAAATTAGAGTCCAACTAAAAACATCCTAAGTATTATTGAAGGTTTATTTCAAAAAAAAGAAAAAGAAATTAATAAGTCAAAATAAGGATTATCAAAGGGAAAGTGTGTGATGACTGATGATTAGTCACTCAAAGTGACAAATCCATTATATCTTCCCATATACTCCGTATTTATCACACATCGTAGAGAGTTGAAGCTGTGAGCCAGTGAACAGAAATGGCACTTCGAAACCTAATGACGCGAAAATCCCTCACCAGAGCTTCGGCGGCTTTCCGGCAGCAGCAACGCGGCTTGCAGACCTTCACGCTTCCGGATCTTGATTACGATTACGGTGCACTTGAGCCGGCCATCAGCGGAGAGATAATGCAGCTCCATCACCAAAAGCACCACCAGGCTTACATCACAAACTACAATAAGGCGCTGGAGCAGCTCGAAGAGGCCATTAATAAGGGAGATGTGTCCACCTCCGTCAAATTGCAGTCGGCCATCAAGTTTAACGGCGGAGGTCCATCTCCCTTCTCTCTCTGAAAAATTGTTAGGGATCATATTAGACTGTTTGTGATCTTGGTTATTTCGAACACTCTAATTAAGAGTGTAGCAGATGTGTTTTTGTGCATTTGCGAGAATTAGATTTCTGCAGACATCATGAGGCTGATTTTAGCTGAGCTTGTGATTTCTGTAGCAATTATCAGTATAGTGAATAATATCTGGAAGGGATTCATTGATGAGAGCACATTTATAGTATGCATCTTCTTATATCAGATGATTAATCATACTTGTGAGCTGATCATTTTTGCACAAATCCGCCTGTTAAATTCTCATTAAAGTACTATGGTTTGTCACTGAACATTCTTGTTCCACATGATTTTGGTTTAACAGTCATGTTTCCTGAACAGGACATGTAAACCATTCAATTTTCTGGAAGAACCTTGCTCCTGCTAATGTAAGTTAATATACAGCTGATACTTTTGTTGAGTTCTTATTTGAAGAGAAATTCATTTCAGGATATGCTAAAATTGTAATGACAGGAAGGAGGAGGTGAGCCTCCAAAAACCTCTTTGGGTTGGGCTATAGACACTAATTTTGGCTCCTTGGATGCCCTGATTCAAAAAATGTCTGCAGAAGGTGCTGCTCTACAAGGTTCTGGCTGGGTGGTAAGTCTCCAGTTCGTTCTCTTTTGTGTAACTCAGATATTTGAACTTTGAAGTGTTCTTTCAAATTAACATATCTTGACCATGTTCAGTGGCTGGGTTTGGACAGAGAACTGAAGCACCTTGTGGTAGAAACCACCCCAAACCAGGTACTGAGAGACCATTCTATTTTCATACCATTCATTCATTCTTTTTTTTTTCTTTCCTTTAACTTTGTGCAAGTTCTATCCATTCTACAGGATCCATTGGTTACTAAAGGACTGAACCTGGTGCCCCTCCTGGGCATAGATGTTTGGGAACACGCATACTACTTACAGGTTCTTATTTACCCTGGACCTGGGCTTATGGTTGAGTTTTATGAGTTCAATTGTTTAATTTTGGTGAAGTCAATTTGAGTATCCTCCGTTATTTACTAAGTGTTGTTTTAGGTGTTGACCCACACTATAACAAAAAACAAATTCTTCTATCAAGCTAAAGTATTATAGTACGACCAGAATTACCTAGTTATGTCGCATTACAAGCAGTACAAATTATCTTGCATTTTGGGAAGGGAAAAGTACTATTACTCCAGGTGTAGGTCATAATTTCTAGTTCAACGTTTTTTTAGCGGCAACTAATTACCCCTGAGTGTTAATTATTCTCACGGTGTACTACCATCAAAATTTATTTCATTCAGTTGATATATCTGTCCAAATGAACAAAGTTGTCTAAATTATCAACTCTTAAAAGTTAATATGCCATATTGCGGCTCATTATTCCTTTGCTATTGAGGAAAGATTGTTATTGAGAGTAACTGAGGCAGATGAAATAAGAATAGTTGTCATGAACTCATGACGAATATTGATTGACGAGGAGTGTTTTAACTTTCGAGAACGCATCATTTAGACAACCTTTAATCACATCAAGTCAAATGAAATAAATATTGACAGAATGGGTACACCAAGAAGGATAATGAAAACTTGCGGTATGACTAGTTAGCTTTTTGGGAATCCTAAAGGGACACATATTGTAGAGCAAAAAAGTGTTTGAAACTGGAGTCAAAAGAAAACGGAGAGAATGTACACATGTGCTGACAATATGTTTTTTTTACCATGATGCAGTACAAGAACGTGAGACCAGATTACTTGAAGAATATATGGAAGGTTATAAACTGGAAGTATGCAAGTGAGGTTTACGAAAATGAGTGCCCCTCACCATTTGCCTCAGGCAGAACTTGATCATACATTCATCAAAGTGCTAGGCTTAGTAATATGTTCAGAAAGAAAATAAGGACAATTGAACCTTTTGAGTGTTGTTGATTTGATGGTTTTGTTCTATGTATTGCAGCCTGTGGTATTATGTGATCTTGTTCCCTAGATACATTTCGGTTCTTTATGCAACTTTTCTGTTTATTTTGTATTGTATGGTATAAATGCTCCATAACGTATACAGATTATGGAGTATTTTAATAAAACAAGAGGCCCTCTTTGGTCACCTTATTTTGCTTATCTGCAAGAAGTCACTGGATATGCTGAGTCGCTGAGATCAACTTGACCAAACACTTTCTCTCAGAAAGTAGATCTAGGGGGTGTTTGGAAATAATTCTGCTTCTGCTTCTATTTTTAAGTTAGAAGCAGAAGCAGAATTTTCTGCTGTATGATAAAGTGATTCTGTTTGGAGTGTTTGGTATTGATTCTGCTGTTTGAAATAGAGAATCAGTTTAGAGTGTTTGGATAACATGCTGTTATAAACTGTTATTTGTGTAAAATTACGAAAAGGGCATATTGTGTTGATTTGAATGGAATACAAATATTAACTTGAAGTAAATTTTCTTATATTGGGTTATTTACTAAATAAAGTATAATTTTAATAATTCAAAGTATATTATTAATAATACTCCATACCTGCAAAATCTACGTATTCAATAAACATGAGTTATAGTGCTCATGGAATCTTATCCAAATGAGCTAAGGAAGCACTAATTTGGAGAAAATTGAATATTGTCGGTTCATAGGAAAAAAATGAATTTATTGAAGCCGGAGATGAGAGAAGAGACGGCGGTGATACCTTTGAGCATGAAAAGATGGCCAAGAGCAGGGGCACAAAGATGAAGATTGCCTATGGGGAAGATGAGTCTGTGAGATACTGAGGAATAGGGTTTGCGAGTTGCGACTTTGAGGGAGCGAGGTTTTTTTAAGGAGGATAGTTTTGGAATAAAATTGTTAGAAGCAGAATCACATTTGGAGAAGCTAGTAGTACCCAGCTTCCGTAAAACTGCTCCTTCGGCCCTTTTAGAAGTACTTCTAAAACTGAATCCAAACACTCAATTAAATGATTCTGCTTCTAAGTGCTGTTCGGAGGAGTAGAAGCACTTTCCAGTAGAAGCTCCAAACACCCCCTAGTTAAGTTAGAACTTAGAAGCTACTCCGTATGTAGCAACGGGAATGCAGAAGTACTACGGAGTACTATTTTTTTTGAAGTACTACTACTATTTCTATTATATTTAATAAATTTACACGGGTGCGTGGAACACGCTCATTATTTTTAGTATTAACATTTTTTATAATTTTCAAAAGAAAATAAAAAACGATACAAAATAGAAATGATATCAATAATCATATTTCCTAGCATTGTTGCTAAATGTCTGTTATTTTTTTTTTGAATTATTATTATTATTATTTTACACAATTTGAATTATATATTATTGAATAATAATTACTGAATGAGGTAGAATTGAACGACATATTAATCTGTTAAGTTTTAAGTCAAAATGTTGTTGTGAAAAAGCTGTTTAAAGTAGTACTTTCATTTAATCATTTTTGATTTTTTTGCATCAAATAGTCAAATTAAAAGACCATTTACCAAACAGTAAAAACAACGGTCTTATACTACGTACAATTTTTTTTGAGCAGAAATTGATATATTATATTAAATCAAAACTCATAGTATAATCAGGAGAATTGCAAACAATAAAGTAACTCTTGGACACTAACCTCCTTCTAGACAAACATAACCATAAGCCCACTGGTCTAGGATCGTAAAAGAATAAATAATTTATGTTCGATTCGTGATTCGAATTCGTATAAGGCTATTCGAATTCGAAAAATTCAAATACAAATACAAATAAGAATACTAAATTTGATTCGAATTGTTATCAAATAAAAAATAATAATATCAGTGTATTCGGTTTGAATGTTAATCGAATATAATAGTGATAATAATAATATTAATAATAGTGATAACACTATAATAATTTTTAAAAGATAGCTATATCCGCAAAGTGTAGCCTATATATACATTTACGTATACTAATTACAATTCTATTTATAATAAATCAGATTGAATCAATTAAAAAACTAATGATGTCTGATAAATTGATTACCAAATTCATATTGATAGAGTTCCCAAAGAATATTAAAAAAGGCGAGTCCAGGACATTTGTATCATCGTTTTATTTTTAAATTTTAGTAGTCTAATACTCTAATGTATCCTCTAATATATTTTGTTGTTTTGTTTACTACTTGTACTAAACAAAAAATTGCTTTGGACCATAAACTTAAACTTTGACGTAAAATAAAGTTAGTTTGACAAGATTCTGGTAAGACAGACTAGACTTGATATACGGAGTAAAAATTATTTAATACTATCTCCATTCTTAGATTAATGTAAAAGAGTCCACTTTTAACGTTTGCTGATATATAACTTTGACTATTAATATATATAATTCTTTATTAACAAAGCATATTGAAAATTTACAATTAGACAAATTGAACAACAATTAATTTTTTATTAGTACATTAATAAATGAAGCATAATTAAAAGTAAAATATGCAAATAGTGTAAAATTTAAATGTTGTACAATACACATTAGAAAAAATTGAAAACAATAATTTCAACTATTGTCGTACCGCTAACAATAATCTCAACTATTGGTTATTTTTGTATAACTTCAACTATATAGATCATCTTCCAATAATGGTTGATTTTAAATAAAAATTAAGCGTACTCTATAAATAATAACAGGTTGATTTTAAATAAAAATTAAGCGTATTCTATAAATAATTTAAACTATGCTCATTTTTCTTTTGATAATCCCAACTATCAACTTAATTTTTTACAAAAAGTAGAAAAAGTTATTTAAATTTCAAATTTTATAAATGAAAGTTAAATTAAACATGAAAACATATTGCGTTTTAGAAATAAAAATGTTACATTTTATTTTTTATTTTTATTTTTGGGAAAAAATATATTTTTAATTTTTGATAAATAACCATTTTTGGATTCTTTTACAAATTCATGGTTTTTACTAATTCATAACTAATTTAAAATAATTTAATATTTTAAGATGATTAGCATTTAAATTTTTTAATATTTTGAAAAAACATAGTGGTATTTTTTATCTTTTTCATTTTCTTAATTTTGAAAATCAACGTTTTCATATCTTAAATTTGAATTTGCACTTAATTGAATTTCATTTTTCCTTTAATATTGACATTTTTACTCTCCTTCTTTATATATTTTATATTCGTTATATATTTATAGTATCTTACATGTTATGAAATTTTATATTTTGAAATTTATATAGGTGTTTCCATATTCTATTATTATATATTTTATATTCTTTAATTCCACAAGCTACCTAAAAAGTTAATGAAGTAAAAATATTTTTTTTAATCTTGTTTACACTCTCTCTTTATTTATGGAAATTTTAATTTAAAATTTTGGGTTCAAAAGAAGTTGGCATATGATAGTTTGGATTATTATAATCTGATATTTATTTTTAATTGATTGAACAAGTAGCCGGTCACGTCAAACCATTATTGACGAGAGGTTTTTAAAGTTTTGATTATTCTGAAATAATAGATAATTGAGATTATTACGAATGAACGCTCAATAATTGATACTCCATATTATTATTATTATTATTATTATTATTATTATTATTATTATTATTATTATTATTATTATTATTATTATTATTATTATTATTATTATTATTATTATTGTTATTATTATTATTATTATTATTATTATTACTACTACTACTACTACTACTACTATTATTATTAGGGAAAATGGAAACTAATAATCCAACCTTTTAGCGGTCTTCTTACAATAATCCAACTTTTTGGTTATTCATGAATAATCCAACCTTTGCATCTCATTTTCATTCACTGGTCCCTGACCGGTTGATGACCTGCTATTCCAACCTATTTTTTTATCTTTGCAAATCATTATACCATAAATCTCATCTTTCACAAAGATAATATTTTGCAAAGATAAGAAAATAACTTGGAATAGTAGGTCATTAACCGACCAGAGACCAATGAACGGAGATGAGGTGCAAAGGTTAGATTATTCATGAATAATCAAAAGGTTGGATTATTAGTTTCCATTTTCCCTTGTTGTTGTTATTATTATTATTATTATTATTATTATTATTATTATTATTATTATTATTATTATTATTATTATTATTATTATTATTATTATTATTATTATTATTATTATTATTATTATTATTATTATTATTATTATTATTATTATTATTATTATTATTATTATTATTATTATTATTATTATTATTATTATTATTATTATTATTATTATTATTATTATTATTATTATTATTATTATTATTATTATTATTATTATTATTATTATTATTATTATTATTATTATTATTATTATTATTATTATTATTATTATTATTATTATTATTATTATTATTATTATTATTATTATTATTATTATTATTATTATTATTATTATTATTATTTTCAATTTTCCTACACATTATACACACATTTAAAGTAGTTATACACATTTTCTGATTTTCTCTAGTCTCTATCCTCTATGTTGACATCCAAGTAGAAAACCCCTGTCTGATTTTTTTTCTGTTAGCGTCTTAAATACATCTTAGCTTGTTCACATTTTGAATTCCATATTGAATCAACTTAAACTTTAAGACTTTCTAAAAGTCATGAGTACTATACTTTTAAAATTGTAACATCCAAATTTTTAAAAACTCAAAAAACTTTCTAAAATTTAAGAGAGGCCAGGCTTCAATTGAACTCACAGATTTACATGAAGTATTTAAATGTGTTTAACTAAATAATACTGCAACTTTAAACTTTATAATTTTGCTCTATCAATTCAGTAACATATATTAATGGCCGACTTCCATTTTTTTTAGCTAAGTTAGATTTTATACTACCCAGTACTCACTGCCAGTGAACTGGTTTGGTCTTCACTATTTCCAGGCAAAACTTCAATACTGCACTCTTAGAAAGAGAGGAAACGGAGAATGAGGATAGAGAGCAGCGAAGAAGATGATGACTTCCCATTAATCGAGAGTGTAACCCCCCAGTCGAAGATCGATACAATTTACCAATCCGCCACTGAAAAGGTCAGCTCTCCTGCACCAATTTCCTCATGTGTAGATCAAATGAACGAAGTAGCTGTTAATCCAAACACAACATTTTACTTGCTTGTGCTCAAGCTCTTTCATTTCCTTCCTGGGACCTCTTTTTCTGTCTCTGGGTTTCTTTATTAGTAGTCTTTATCACTTTGTTATCTCTGGATAATCTTTTCTTTGGGTGAGATTTATGCTTAGCTCTTTGAGTTATCCACCCGCTTTTCTCCTGCTTGTTTGAGAAGAATGTCTAATAGCACTTCATCGGGTTGAACAAAATGAGAATTTCTCTTTACGAACTCTTTTGGTCGGTAGTCGATACTATAGTGTTCTAAAGCGTGGAGATTTTTTTACTTTATTTTGCCTACAGAAGGAAAAAAGTGAATCCGTAGATACATCTTTCTGTCCATTTAATCTATTTTTTTAGAGATGTTCATGTTATCTATTAGCTTCTGTTTCTATCAGGTGAGCTTCCACAGGCTAATCTATCATCTATTCAATTTATTTATGCAGGGAATCAGAAAAATTTCTTTTGAGCTCTTGGAACTGAAAGATGCAGTAGAGAACATCTGTGGCAATGCTCGCACTAAATGCTTGGCCTTCTTGAGGTATTCCCTGATCATAATTGCTGAAATTCAAGTGAATAATTACTTGGAAGTAGTTGAATACGAGCTTTTATTTTTACTGCTTTCTACTGAATATGAAATAATCCTAGTTCTTTAAACTAAATGTGCCAAGACAATATTTCAGCTGAAATGCATTCTTCTTGGCATGACCACCTGACAATATGTGATGGCTGGTAGGTGTAGGAACCTTAAGTATCGCTTGGACTGAGTTTGAGGGGACATTTAACTTTGACATGGTTAGTAAACCATCTACTCTATGAAGAAGTATTATCCC